TATGCATTGTTTGATATTTAATTTTCAATTTAATTTGTTGAGATTGCAGAGCATTTATTGGTGTGCTTTATGTGGTGTTTAGTAATTTTTTATTTATTTATTTTATTATAGAACGTTAACGAGTATACAATAGTTTTGGTTTCTATATTTTGTTTAGTGTTTATAATTTTTTTTTACTTGCTCTTATATTTTGATTTGCAATATTGGTGAACATTATCAAACTTATATGTTTGTTTCTTAATTTTCATTAAGGTTAGGGGGGAGTTGTTATTTTATTTGTGTTTTGTAAAGCGTGTGGTACAAGTAAAATTGTTACAAGTTCTTTAAGAAGAATAATATTTTTTTATATTTTTTTAGTATCTTTATCAAAATCAAAAATAAAAAAATGACATAGATTCCATAAATTTCAACATGATACGTATATATTTCAATTGCATTTTTATCCTAACATTATTTACACCATACCTTTAGGCATGGACATACACTAGTCTATGTAACAAAACAAAAGGGTTTTTGAATCTGATAAGACTTTCGTCTTATGTGTCAAAATGTAAACCATCAGATTGTCTTTATTTGTTTTTCATCTTACATCATTAGATCAAACAACCTATTTGATTGTCTTTCTTTGAATTCTGATAGTTCAAACATATTTCAAGTTGATTTGAAACTCAAAGCATCATCTCCGTAGCAACTCTCCCGCTTCTCTCTCTTGCTCTCTTGATTGGACTCTTCTGTGGTGGTGGTGGTCATCGGAAGCAACGGACCTTACTTTAGTAGTTACTTTCATTATTGTAGTTGAATTGTTTCTTTTTCTTTAGTCTGGATGGATGTATGCTCATCCCTTTCTCTCCTCTCTTTTCTATCCCTTTTATTTTTCTGGTTTTCTTAACATCCGAAAATTTATCACTCATTTTATAATTAAATTCATTCAATATTTTCCAACCATTACAATGAATACTATTAAAGAACAAATCTTTTACTCAAGATAATCTCTTATCATTGTACTAGTGAAATATACATCATTATTCATTAACATACAATCATGAATAATAACAGTTCAAAGATAAGAGAATAAAAAAATAAAGTGCCCCAATGGCGTATACATTTTCGAGGATAATCCTTGATTACACAAAAATGGACATTCAGTCCCAAACCACAAAATAGCTTCGGAGCTTCAACAAGTAACATCTAGTGAGCCTTCGTGCTCCAGTCAAAACACATCCATCGCCAAGTCACTTTGGCAAAATCACACCATCATTTCCTAAAACGTTGTTAGTTGGGGTAAGCTAATGCCCAGTAGGAATACATTTATCAGAGCATATAAATAATCAAGATGCATATGATCATGCCATGCACTTGTTAGGATAAAATCCATATTTTCTCTTTTTAAATAAAAAATGTTTAATGCGTGATTTCTATTCAAAGGCTCATCTACAACCATGGGGTGGTAAATACGCTATGACATCCCAAACAAGAGCCGCAAAACCATACATACATATATAGATTTATATACAAAAAAAATATTCCTACTTTTGCCAACTCTAAAAATGCCTGAGTAATGGGCATCCAAAACATTTCCCTTCCACATTTGCCGACTCGTGCAACGGCAAGCTTTGGACATCCAAAACTATGTTTTTCCACATTTGCCGACTCTTAAAACGGCGGACTCGTGGACACCAAAAAACATTTCCCACATTTGTTCAACGATAAGCTCAAAACAAGGCAATAGGGCACACTGACTCCCTGCACAGGTACCAAATATAAGATACAACCCATTACTCAAAACCTGACTCAACAACCTAGATTCATAAGCTATTTACCCCATTTTAACCTTTTCCAAACCTTCACGACATTATAAAATCACATTAGAAAAATTATAATGCACATGATGCATGAGTTTTCTAAATCCAATTTACTTAAGGTTTATTCAATTCATAATCAAGATTTAACAATAGCAAGAAACAAAGGGATTTTCTCCAATTTCTCATTTTCACAACTCCAACATTCATCTATCTCAACACACAATTCCAAGATGAATCAAACTTACATGCTTCAACACATTTGTAACAATCATTCACCCAATTTCAAGGTTTAGAAGTCATTAAATCAAAGTCAGAAATTAGGGTTTTTGAGAAAATTTAGGCTTTTCCCTCTTTTATACTTAAAGGGTCAATACTCATCATCAACCATAATAATTAATAAGAAACATTTATAATCCTTCCCAAAAACATTAGTTATAAGCCCCATTTTGATTGTCAACTCATTTTATACAACAAAATCATCTCATACATTTCTATAACTAAGAAATACCACATATATACCTCAAATCATAGATATATTAAGTTAAAAGTACCCCTACCTCAAGAATGGAGGCAAAAAGATGAAAACCTAAATAGAGCTTCAAGAAAAACGCGATTCAATCGGTAAAAACATTGATCTTCATTCCATCTTTGCTTTTTACAAGGGATCTATGCTTGATTCTTAGTGAAATGAGAGATTTTTAGAGAGAGAAAACTAGGGTTTCCGTGTTTAGGAGAGGTGAAAGAAAATGGAAAATAAAAAGTGAAAGAAATGATCCAAAAAGCAAATTTTAAGTTGTTGAACTCGCGTAGACCGCTCAAGCGGTAAACTCAATCTCTCAGCATTTCTGTTTGCAAAACTAGCTACTGGATGCATCTTTTTCATCGCTCGAGCACTTACTCTGGAAACAATTAGTCACACAGGCTTAGTTCCTAAGGCACTCCTTGCACATCAACCTTATATTTCATTTACTTAAGTTTACAATGTAAATAAGGAAGTAATGCTTTCATTTGGCCTCTTACATTATGTTTCATTTACTTAAGTTTATAATATAAATAAGGAAATACCCCCCTCCCCCCATTTGGATTTGAAGAAAAATACAAAAAAATAAAATCCAATTAAATAAAAAAATGGTTCCCCCAGTTAGTATGAAAATAATTTTCTGACTGAAATTTCTAAGGTTGATGTTGAAGTAAAGAGGTTAATACTTTGTAGACAAATCCCATAAAATCAAATTAGACTATTTATTATATAAGAAACAATTATCGCCAAAAGTTATTGTCAAAATCGTAAGTTTTGAAAAACTCAATTTTCACACTTATTAAATTTTTAAGTTAAGTCCAATTTTCGACGGAAAACTTTTTTCTTATACAACATCTTTATATGAAAAGGAATAAGGGTTGGATCTCGACCTGAGCCATTGCAGTTTCCATATTGCCTTTGGCATCATATTTTCTTTCTCATCATTTTGTATGTCTTGCATTGAGCACGGTTCATTATACATATTGCTTCTATTGTTCTTATGTGATTTTATGCACAATATCATATTTTGAGACAATTCACATGACACGAGTTAGCAATCGAGTTCTTAGTTGCATTCTTGTATATATTGCATTGGCTTTTTTGCATGTAAGATCATGCATGTTTTCCAACCCTTCTGCACTTGGTTGTTGCTAATGAATTCTAGGTAAGCTTCTTTTATCTTTGCATCCCGTTTGTGCATTAGTTTATTGCTTTGACCTTAGCTTTATGATGTAAATGCATTAATTAATAGAGGAGTTAGCTAAGCATGTTTGTTCCACTTTGTTTTGAAAATAGGTGAGAAAGATCGTGGGTATTGAAAAGCTTCCTCTCAGGTCTGATGAAGGATTATTTTGTCAAAAGATATTTGAGGAAATCAGTTAATTTTGTTAAAACAAGACCAAACACATTTTCGCAAACAGCCACTACTTAACCTACCTGAAATCAACCCTTGAACTGCATAACCTCGAATCAATTCTCCAGATAGAACTCTTTGCACCTCTTCCACTATTGTGTTACCAATCGATTCTGCCTTGCAACTCCGTTTAGCATAGAAAAGTAGGCCTAGATAACTGGATTTGAATCAGAGTGAAAGCGAATCGATCAATCATAGATAAGACAACCGAATTGAAAACGGTTAGGGTCAAACTTCAGAATGAAATTGCCAACGTATCCTGGGAATGAGGATCAGGCCTTATGTAGTTCACGGTTAGGGATAGTACTTTTTCAACTTATCTATGTTGATCGGTTGTGAAAACTCCAGTCCATACAAATCCATCAGAATAACTGCTTCTCCCGACTAAATTGACTTGATGATGTAAGCACCAGTCCAATTGGGCTCGAACTTTCCCTAGGATCATAAGTTGGAGTCTGGTTGTCCTTCAACACTAGATCTCCCTCATTCAGATTCCTGGACTTGACCTTCTCATTGAATGCTCGAGAAATCCTACGCTATTACCCCTGTACATGGTATAGTGCTTTTAGTCTTCTCTCATCAAATAACATTAGCTATTCAAAGTGATTTTGTTGCCAATCAACCCCTGCTGTCTGACATTCAGCCATAATCCTTAACGAAGGTACGACTATCTCGATCGGTAGCACTGCTTCCATTCCATAAACCAGGGAATAAGGGGTTACCCCATTAGATGTCCGGATCGAGGTCCTTTAGCCCCACAACGCGAAATGCAACTCTTCCGGCCAATCCTTGTATGTTTCCACCATCTTTCCTAAGATGTTCCTGATATTTTTGTTAGTAGCTTCAACGGCTCCATTGGTTTGTGGCCTATAGGTCGATGACTTGTGAGAGGTTACGTTGTATTTCTCAAGTAGATCAATCACTTCTCTCTTGAAGTGTGAACCGTTGTATAAAACAATCTTGTTCAGAACCCCATATCTACAAATTATATTGTTCCTGATAAACTTGGCCACGTGTGATGCCTTTAACACTACGTACGATTTGGTAAAGTGATCGATTGCCACCAGGATAAACTCATGTGCATTTGACCCTTTTGGTGTTATTTCCCCAATTACATCAATTCCCTAGACTGAAAAAGGCCACGTTAAAGTTACATTGTATAATTTTGATGCCAGGATGTTCATGTGATTGGCGTGAATCTGACATTTGTGGCATCGCTGGACAAAATTGACACAATCACTTTCCATAGTCAACCATAATATCCTTATCTGAGGATTTTCCTTGCTAACATTAGACCATTCATATGAGCCCCGCATTCTCCTCTATGGACAGCTTTCATAATGCGTTTGGCTTCATCTTCCTCCACACACAACTTATGCATTCCTAGATGACCCCTTTTATACAACTTATCTCCACAAATGATGAATTGAGTGACCAAACGCCGTATCTCCCTTTTGTCCTTAGCATTTGCCGCTTGCGAGTATACTTCTTTTTCTAGAAAGTTCCAAATGTCAAAGAACCAAGGACCCTCATCTTGGGCTTCTTCTATCACAACAATCATCTCATATGCTAGTGTGTACCTCTGCTCTATGATAATTAGACGCATCCTTACCCTAATCGGTATGTCTAACATCGAAGCTAAGGTTGCCAAGGCATCAGTGAACCTATTGTTTTCTCTCACCAAGTGTGTAAATGTCAATAGTTCAAACCTTAGGAAAAGTATATCCAAAGTCTGATGATAGACTTTTATCTTTTCTTCCTTCACATTCCAATCCCCGTTGGCTTGGGACACAACCAGGTTTGAATGTCCAATCATATCCAATCTTATTGCACCTAGTTCTAGAGTAGCTTCTAGTCTGGCTATGCATGCCCCATACTCTGAGCAATTATTGGATACTCTAAACCAGAATTTGAAGGCCAAAGGCACGTGAGAGTCGTCGGGTGCTATAAGCAACACCCCTAACCCATATCCATACTGATAGGCAACTCCGTTAAAATATAAATTCCAAGTATCTTCTCCCAATTGCAGAATATCTTTATTCGACAATTTGTATTCCTCGTCCTCTTCCTCATCGATCAGGTGATTTGCCAAGAACTTTGCTACGATTCTCCGTTTGACAGACTTACGAGTGACATATTGAAGATCGAACTCGGAAACCAAAAGCAGCCATCGAGCTAGCCTACCGGTAAGCGCTGGTTTCTCAAAGAAATATTTGATGGGATCTAATCTCAAAACCAGGATTGCCGAGTGTGCTAACAAATAGTGCCTTAACTTTCTGGTGACCTATACCAAGGCTAGACAGACCTTTTTCTAGAGGAGTGTAACAAATTTCGCATTCTAACATCTTCTTGTTCAAATAGTATATGGCCTTCTCCACCTTCGTTTTTGATTCTTGCGCTAACATACAGTGTATAGTAGACTCAGTTACTGATAGGTACATGATCAACAGCTTCCATGGCTCAGGGAGTGACAACCTGGACAGATTCTGCAGATATTGTTTGATTTGCTCAAAAGTGGGATTGTATCGGTCATCCCATTGGAACTTCTTCTCTATCTTTAGCAAGCCAAAGAGTGGTTCACAAATGGAGGCTACTTTAGAAATAAACCTTCTTACGAATTGCACTTTCCCTAAAAAGCCTCGCACCTCCTTTTTAGTCACTAGCGAGGGCATTTCTAAGATGGCCCTGATTTTGGATGGGTCAACCTTGATTCTTCGTTGTGTGATTAGGAACCCCAGCATCTTTCCTACAGTCACCCCGAAAGTACATTTTTGCGGGTTCAACCTTAACATGCACTCTGGAATTCTTTCAAATAACTTTCTCAATGCTTCATTGTCACGACCTAAACCCACCCCTAAAAGTTTGGAGCATGACCGACTAGTACTTAGGCCTTAAAACAATATTTTCATCAAGTTTGATTCAATAACGGGGCCTAAAGCGAAAGAAAATAAATAACAGAACACCCATTGAGCAGTTCTTAAATGCCAGGATCTGAAACAGTTGCATCACGTATGTAAATGTCACATACACAGTTCATATATGGACGAGTCCAAATTATGTAGATATATACAAAGAGTTGATTACCCAAAAGTTATACATATTAATAGAATGTTCAGGCAAAGTCACCAATGACTTAATAACATGTGTTATATGAAGGAACTCCACAAAAGGCAAAAGACTCCACTTTGGGAGGCTCGACAAAACAGGTCCAACAAAAGGCCCCTAGAGCTAACCTAGGGCTGGTCACCTACATAAATATTCATAAATACGAGCAAGGCTCAGCGAATAATAATAATGTAAGGAGGTTTATGTGAATGAGCATAAGCCTTGAAGAATATATTTATAAGGCATATGCCTGTCTTATTCATAATCTCAATCTAGAACGGCGTCGGGCCCATGTAAGATGGAACGGCCTTCGGCCTAACATAATACAGAATGACCTTAGACCCAACATATCAACAGTTGTTCGGAACATTATAGGGTAGATGGAACATCGGCATGTCTCCATCTCCCTCGGCCTTAGGCCATGAGTCATAAATAACCTATATCCTTATAGGGTAGATGGAATATCGGCATGTCACCATCTCCCTCGGCCTCAAGGCCATGATTCATAAGTAGTCCACATCATAACAGCCTCGGGCCCATCACTCATAACAGAAACAAAAGGACCTCAGGTCCATTTTATATTCCATTGTACAATCATTCCAATTATTCCAATCAAAACACAACTTATATAACATATGCCATTCATAAGCAAAAATATATCAATCATAATCACAATATGTAAATAAGACATATCGTTACACTACTATTACTTATTGTGATGTGGTCATGCAACGGTGCCTTCCTGTACGTGGCCTACCTATGGCACACAACTTGTAAGCAATTCATTTTTCCTTAGCCTTTTTCTCTTTAATCATTTGTCTGAATCGTTACATTCCTATTCACTTTTAAGCATGTTAGAAGGATCAAATATACACATTAATAGATTCAGAGGGTCAAAAAGAGTAAAAGAAGTTAATAGAATTTTTCCCTTCTTGCCGCATGTGGAAAAGTCCCCCACCGTATGTGTGGCACACCTCTCCGCACGTACGGTTCCACACGTGCATTTATTTTAGATTGCTCAACTTGTCTCCCTTGTTTTCCACACGTGCGGCTATGCATCCCGCACGTGCGGCATGAGCCCCGCATGTGTGGTCCTGGGCTCTGTTTGAGTAGTCTGAAACTTCATCAAAATCAAACTTTCCAAATACATTTCTAAGGTCTAATGCAAGCAAATTCACTTCAACATCATGACATATGAACATAATAAACATAAATCTCAAGCTCAATTAGATCATAACTCATTTTAATTGCACATATACAACTCAAATTGCCACTTTTATTTCATTTCTTCATCTTTTCATTGTCTATCAAAACATATACAAACATATATATATATATATATGGGTTCAAAGCATGCAAAAGCTAAAGAGTAGAAGGTAATACCTCTCAAGCTAACTCAAGACAAACTCAAAATACAAGGATCAACACTCAAACAAACAAATACAATGAATCTTTATGACCTCCATGAATATTTACTCAAGCAAGATTATTATTGTAATGCCCCCAAAATAATGTCATAAACCAACCAAGACAATATGTAATTGACAGTAAGAATTAGAGTATAAAGCCCTTCTATTACATGAGATCCAATTATATAAGGGAGTGACATATGCAATTATACATTCATGAGCCTGTCCTTGAATCTATAGCATATATCACAGCATGATGTAGAACTGGAAGCAAAACAAAGAGTAAATGCCCTAAAGGCTTACATCTTTCCAAGATAGTTCTTGGTTACAACAAAAGTGGACTTTACGTCCAATACATTTAAAGCCCTTTGGCTGTACAAAAGTTAAGTACAAAAATAATAAGATTAAGCCTTCAGCTCCACATTCCTCCTAAGCTAAGTCCTTGGTGAAGGCATATCACGAGCACCTGAAAATGTTTTTCCTAAATAGGGTGAGCCAAAGCCTAGTAGAAACAATCTAACACAATATATGAATCTTAACAAATATATAAATATGATGCGTATATACAATGTCAGTGACAAAATCATTTACAACTCTTTTGCAAACCATGCCATGTCAAGTTTTGTATCACAATTCATGCTATCTTAATTCCCTTTTATCTCAGCTCATTTTGTCTTAATTCATGAGTTATTTCCATTTATCACAAACAACGAAACTGAGAATACAACTCAAAGGTTCTCAAAATGATATAGTCATCACATAGACACTTCCATTTGCCATTTTATGGAAATTTCGTCCGTGGGAATTGGCACCGATGTATACACCCATTTTCGAGACTTTCACTTTAGACACATAGGCTAACTTAATTTAATGGAGTGCATCCCCTTTCTCCTCCCAAACAATGGTGTACATCCTCTTTCTCCTCCCAAACATCATACATATACAATGTATTAAAACATATTGTCATATTCAATGACAACCGATAAGAGATTAGTTTTAATTCACCTAATCCTCATGCAATTTCTACAATAATCATAGCTATCCTCCACTGATAGCCCCAAAACAGATGTTTCTAAACAGATATACAATCTCTTTAACAGAAAAAATTATCCAAATTTCCATGGGTGGGTGATAATGCAAATCCAACTTCACCATTAACATAAACCCTCATTCAATTTCATATTCTCAATACCAATTTCATAAGTTTATACAAAATAAAAATTTGAACCATTTTAGGGCAAAATCCCCTTTTATTCCAAATTCCACCCCGGATATCAAAATCAACAAATTTATCACAACACAACTTCACATTTACTCCCATAACCATTTTTAACACATACATTTGAAAACCTTTCTTTTGATTTTAAGCTAAAAGCCTAGGTTTGTTCAAAATCACCTCAAGTTCCAATTTTTCTTACACATCAACGAATAGCCAAGTTAAAAACCATATGAGAGTGTAGAAAAATCTCTACCTCAAGTTAGAAGACCAAAGGAAGATATGGAGGAACTTCAAAGACGTCGAAACCAAGATTTATTCGGATAAAAACAGAGCTCTAAAGATGCTCTACCTTTTTAACAAAGGCAAAAGGGTGGAGAAATCACTAGATCTAGATGAAAAGTAGAGAGAATGTAGGTTTTAGAAAGAGAAGGTCTCAACTTTAGGGTTTAGAGAGAAATAGATATGAAAAAGTGATGTAAAATGACCATTTTACAAACTGATATACGAACAGTCCGTTCGAGCACAAGAAGTGACGCTTGAGCATTAGACACAACAAGTTGTTCCGCTCGAGCACAGAATACACACTTCCAGTAGTTTTGTAGAGAACAAACCATCGCCTGAGCACAAGAAAGGCCTCTCGAGCTAAGCCCGCTCGAGCATAGAATACACTCTCCCAGTAGTTCTGCAGACCTGCAAAAGTACTGGGAGTTTGCAAAGCCCACTCAAGCGTAAGAAGTGCCGCTCGAGCGGAAGAACAAAAATCTGGACAACAAAAGTTTGACAACTAAGTAACCAACTTGTTCCAAACATGCTCTAACCAACTCAGTAGCCAAACTTAAGCAAGGATAAAGGGGAAAAGATATGAACAACATTTGGAAACCATAAAACCCGAGTTCCGGAATATCAAATGGGTCGGGTCAAAACCGGAATCATTATAATTATTTCAAAACCCTAAGTTATATAAGTGTAAAAACTTCATTTTATGGGTTGAAGCTAATCAATTGAAGAGAGGTTTAGGGTGTTTTAGTTGATTTACACTCACCTTGAACTCTATTATCTAATTCCCCTTCCTATTTCTTCAATCTTCAAGCTCTAGGTTGATCTCTTCTTCCTCTCTCTTTCTTTTTTCTTATTTTCTTCTCTAGAAACTCTCCAGGAGATATTTTTAGTGTTTGTTGAGGCTAAGTCCTCTAAGGCTCATATAAGTGGCTCTTATATCTATCAAGACTTAAGTTATGAGCTTAAGCTAGTTTAATTAAGACTTAAGCCTAAATTAAATCAATTTAATTTGTTACGAATCAAATTTTTACAAAACTTCATATAATGTCTTAAAAATCATACTAATCATCATTGTATAGTCGATTTCGGTTTATCGCACCTCTAAGGCTTTCAATTTCTAGTCCAAAGGTCACAATTTCAACAGATTTTCTCATAACCAACAGATATAAAGTTGTAAACTAATAATTCACATATTCAAATATGGAATTTCACCTCAAACACATTAACACACATATAATCACAGATATAATAAGGGAGTTTAAGCATATGAGAGGGTTGGGTTATTACATTCATAGTGACCTTCTCCTTTTTTGGACTTGACAATCATATCATCTTCGTACACTTCAACCGACTTGTGAATCATGTCATGCAATATGGTGGTTGCTGCTCTCTGGTAAGTGGCTTCGACATTTTTCAACCCGAATTGCATAACCCAATAGCAGTAA